CTAACTAAGCCTGATTTTGAATTTTCTAATGTCATTTTAACATTGCCTGCAGGCTTTATTCTTGCGATATCTGTGAGCTCACAAACATAGAAGACTCCTTCATTCCAGTCTGGTCCAAACAGGTTGGCCAATCACGTTGTATAGCTGTGAAAATCCTAGAGCTGCCAAGGCAGCAGCCAAACCAAAATCAAAAACATGTCAGTGGAGGAGAACATTCATGTAGCTGCTTCTAACTCATCTGTCAGGATACATGATTTGATCTTTGACAGAGGAACAGGAAGAGCAATAAAGTGGAAGTTGTTTTAATTTTATATGGAATCTGCAGCTATTTAATTTGTTACCATGATTGGCTAAAACCTAACTTTGGTACGGACGCATAAGCTGGTGCTTCGTCACAGAGGCTCAAAGGTTCTGCTCAACACCCATCCTTTACTTGAAGAACTATGATGGCAGCAGCCCTAGATTAAGAATGTTTAAAACTAACCCAGAGCACAGCGATTTATTAATGTGTCTTGCCAGATTGAGCCATTTTTTCTTGAACAGGAATTTAACATTTTGTATGACACTTTTCTGTCCTGGTCCAGATCAGTGGAGGTATTGTTTCTAAGATAGTGAACACAAAAGATTAAACATGTTTAAGTATTAATTTATTCCAGTCATGGTTAACAAAATCATTAATACAAGCACAAATTGCAGAGGAAGTTCTCATCTTCTACTAGGGGAGAACCCAATGAAAAGCAGTGAGCCTCTGCTAACTTTCCCATTTTATCTAAAAATCATCCAGACAGTGTCTCACCCATAACCCCCAGCAAACACCAAGCCCTTCTCACACACCCTACACAGCATTAATGATGATAATAATTTAACTTTATTTATCTCACATTTAACCCATCCTGTCAGGGAGCGTCGGGCTGCCATTGTGTGGCGCCCGGGGAGGGGTGCGGGATTAAGGTTTTTTTCTCAGGTCCCAAGTGTTGTTTATTTTTATTTATAATTGTCCTTTTGATCTTAATTTTAAAACTGATGTTGGATAAGGATACATTTCTCTAAACAAGATCACTTCTTGTGTTTCTATATGATTATTTTATTTGAGTTTAAGTTTCTGTCTTGCTGTTCCTGCACCTTAATTCCCCAGTTTGGGCTCTATAGAGTCAATTTATCAATCCATATATCCATACATATATATATAAATATATATACACATTTTGGATTGACATCTACATGAGTTTGTAAGTACTCGGGGGACATGCTGTCACAGGATGATTCTTCTGCTTAAGAACCTGTCATTGATATGATCTTCATCAGCGTTCTGTATGCATACTGTGCCATAACAAACATCCCAGACAGGTAAGTCTTCTGAATGGTGATGGAGTCTTCTTTTCCAACCTGCTTTCATCTAATACCTCTGAGGTGGATGAATGAAATGCAGGATTAAATGTATATACACATATCTTAAACATCAAACATTCCCCAGCTGTATTTGGCATATTTTTAATGGTTGACCTTTAATGCAGAGTGGAAGCTTCAATTGCATTTAGACAGAGTGTAAAACTGCGAAATGGGTCAAGAAAAATTGGATCGAAGCAAAGCTATGCATGGAAATATGGTCAGTGATTTGTATTCATGAGACTGCAGAAAGTTTGTCTGAATCTGGTTGAAGAAAACTGCAGCTGAAAAAAAATCCTGCAACTCCTGTCATGAACAAGAGAAAAAGGTCTCTTTGATGTATCATTTTGTTGCCTTCAATGTTTATTATAACTATGATATAACCTATATCTTAAGGAGGTCTGACAGGGAATACTTTTAGTTTTATTAGTTGTATGTCCTGTGATTTTATTAAGGTGTTTTCCCTTGTTTTCTCGTTTTTCTTAATGTTTTCTGGCCACTTATTATAGAGCTATACGCAGGGGAGTAATCAAAATTGCCAAATTCTAGGAAGGGTCTAAATGAAAGGTAACAAAACAGCTATAAGCACAACCTTATGCTGAGATTAATTTGCTGCCGACTTTATTACACCGTGTGATCCTCTTAAATTAAGATGAATTAAAGGGCAGCTGGAGCCATAAGATTTAATTAAGATTCAGCGTTCACCTTCTGCTGAGCTACCTTTGCTACTTCATTT